CAGATGAAAACATTGTTCATCTCTTCTTCATCCCTCCCTTTTAAGTGTAGTCCTTCTGTTTGCATCAATCTATCGAGATTCTATCGCAACTATCTTTCTGCCTTATATCAAAGTGGTACCGACTTTCTCTCCCTCTTACACCATGGAAACAAGTAGTTACCTTTTTGCTGCTTGCTGTTCACTAGCCCAAATGTCCTGTATAGGGTCGCTGTTGCACATTTACCGGCACTTTTTAAAGAAGAGTTTAGCAAACTGGCAGAGGATTAAGCAAATGGCATTTTGTCAGCCTTTCGCCCTCATCTCTCCATTTACGAGTGGCGATTAAAAGTTTGCTTGAGTGAGCGTCGACACGCGCTGGGTCTGCATGCCTCGAAAAAGTGCCAAAATCGCCTGTTTAATTGCCACTTTGCCATTTCTCTTGTGGTCATTCATTCGAGTGTTTTCATTGGCATTATTTTATGGTTTTCACACCCGTTTATGTCCACTATCAAGATGTGCATGCGCTTATATCTGCCCACACCGAGGATGTTTTAATGTGCGGCCGCTTCGTCAGGACTCGCACATTCGCCAAGCCGGTCATGTGGTGTTTCCACGAGGGAGAAGGCATCATCTGAGACGGATTGCGGTCAGAGGACCACTTTCTTTTTGGCCATCTTTTCCCACAAGAGCCTGACCGATGCCTTTCCGACAGGCACGGCCACCTGAAGCAGACCGCCGAGTGAAAAATCCGGCCGGTGTCATAAATCTAATTCACCAAACGAATCCGACCAATTGCGTATCGTACTCGCCCACAAAGCTTCCTTATTGCCTCAGCTATTGCAGCGACACACGTGCAGCGACACACGTGCAGCGACACACGTGCAGCCACACACCAACAAACACAAATGCAGGCATCCGGTGACTAAGCCATCGCCTGAATGCGCTGCTTTCATGTCGTTTACACACCGGCTCTTCACCGAATATCGACCTTTTCCCGTCCTTTCGGGCTTAACCAATAGGAGGGGGCGAATGCTGGGAGCGGCTGGATTGGCTGGGCTGGCTGGACCAATAGAAGAGGGCCTAGTCTCATTCACGCTATTGGCTGATCAGATGTGTCCTTGCTCTTCACAAAATCAGACAGCCAGTTGTCGGCTCAAGTCCACAGCCTCTTTGCTCTCTCCTCTCTCAGCCGTCTACCAGGCTTTACCGGACCCCTTCTCCCGGCACCCCCGTCACTTTAACTTCCCCCTCATTCTTCATCCTGCCTGCACTAGACTTGTATGTCTCTCGGACTCGCTGCACTCCGTCTGTGTAGGTTTACCGCGAGCGACAACTTGACTCCTCTTAGGCCTCGATATGGACGCATTTTTGCGCGCAAATCAGCCTCAAACCTGCAAGTCTGTCAGACCCAGGGCCAGTTTCAGCACCGGATAGATTATCTCGTTTATGACTCATTAACACTGCCTGATTGTCAAGCTGACTGATATTCTCGAGGCCGGTGAAATTGGATGACGTCGTTGTTCATACACCATCGTGCTGTTGGCGTTTTGAGACTTCTTTTTTTTTGCGTTTTTTTTAAGTAGCCTTCCGAGACTACCGATAGATCATATGCCTGCAACTGGTAGTTGCATTTTCCCAAAATCCGATGAGCAAGTCTCGTGTTTCCGTTGCATTTCCAAGCAGTTTTTTCGTCCGGACAGAAGTTTCCACCTTAATCTCATCCGCAGTTCCAGCGGTACTCGGACTCGGGTTGTGCCGTTGAGGGCATGTCCAAAACCACTACCGCACAGCCACGTGTGCCCTCGGTTCACGGGGCGGGTGTGCATTTCAGAAAGGCCATACATTTTCCAATATCACAATCTGTGGTGGGATTATCGATGAAGCAAAGGTGTATTTCGAAGGTATGAAGAG